AGGCTTACCCCTAGGCCTTACCCCTAGGCTTACCCTAGGCCTACCCCTAGGCCTTCCCCCTAGGCCGACCCTAGGCCTGCCCCTAGGCCCTAGGCCTACCGTAGGCCTACCCTAGGCCTACCCCCTAGGCCTCCCCTATGCCTACCCCCTAGGCCTGCCCCGAGGCCTTCTCCGTAGGCCTACCCCCTAGGCCTACCCCCTAGGATTTCCCCCTAGGCCTTCCCCCTAGTCCTAACCCTAGGCCTTCCCCCTAGGGCTAGGGTAGGCCTACCTGTAGCACTTCCCTCAATCTGTTCCATAAGCTCATGCTTAGTGTGAAAGCAGTGCTAGTTCAGATATCGGCGCTAATGATGTGAAAGAAGAAAAGCAGCCCATGCTTAGGCCTTCCCTAGGTCTACCCTAGGCTCTTGGGTAGGGCCTACCCTAGGTCTACCTTCGGGCGTTGGGTAGAGCCTACCCTAGGCTACCCTAGGGCCTTGGGTAAGGCCTACCCTCGGCTACCCTAGGGCCTTGGGTAGGGCCTAGGGTCGGCTACCCTAGGGGCCTGGGGTAGGCTTCCCCCCGGGGTTCTATACCACTTTGGGGGGTCCTCTCGGGGAGGCCTCTTGGGCTGTGCTGAGGCCTGGGGTAGGCTTCCCCCCGGGGTAGGGCTTGTGCAGGTAGGGCGGAGCCAAGGGCGCCCCCTGGGCGGCGAAAGTCCTACTCTCGTTGTTTTTCCGGCTTAGACCGCCCATCGGTGCTCGGGGGGGGGGTTGGAGACATCTTGAGCCGTATTGAGGCCGTCGTGGGTTATCTGGATCGCTCTTGGGCCGTCCTCGGGCCCGTCTGGGCCTCTGTACGCCGTCTTGGAGGCCGTTGAAGCCGTCTGCATACGTGCAGATGTTCGAACACGTCTTGGGGCCGTCTTGGAGGTATCTTGGGCCATATTGGGGCGATCTTACGGGCCTCTGGCCGCTTGGGTCGTCTTGGAGGCATTTTGGACCGTCTTGGATGACGCTTGGTCTCTCATGGGCTGTCTTGAAGGTACCTCAAGTTGGCTCTCTTAGGCCATCTTGGGACCCTTCTGCTGGGCCGTCCTCAGGCTCTCTTGGGAGGCTCTCGGGCCGTCATGGCACAATCTCGGGGGGCTCTGGAGCTGTATCGGGCGGTTTTTGCACGAAAAGGCGAGGAGCTGGAAAGCCTTCCTAAACCTAAAGGCAACAACGGTTTATTCGTCCTTCAGCACTGAACCCGAAGGGTAGGCCTACCCTAGGCATACCCCTAGGCCTAGCCCCTAGGCCTATCCTAGGCCTACCCCGAGGCCTACCCCCTAGGTCTACCCCCTAGGCCTGCCCCTAGGCCTTCCCCCTAGGCCTACCCTTGGCCGGCCCCTAGGCCTACCCCCTAGGCCTACCCTAGGCCGGTACCTGGACCTTCCCCCTAGGCCTGTTCTAGGCCTACCCCTAGGCCTACCCCCTAGGCCTACCCTAGGCTTACCCCTAGGCCTTCCCCCTAGTCCTAACCCTCTAGGGTAGGCCTACCTGTAGCCCTTCCCTCAATATGTTCCATAAGCTCATGCTTAGTGTGAAAGCAGTGCTAGTTCAGATATCGGCGCTAATGATGTGAAAGAAGAAAAGCAGCCCATGCTTAGGCCTTCCCTAGGTCTACCCTAGGCTCTTGGGTAGGGCCTACCCTAGGTCTACCTTCGGGCGTTGGGTAGAGCCTACCCTAGGCTACCCTAGGGCCCTGGGCAAGGCCTACCCTCGGCTACCCTAGGGCCTTGGGTAGGGCCTAGGGTCGGCTACCCTAGGGGCCTGGGGTAGGCTTCCCCCCGGGGTTCTATACCACTTTGGGGGGTCCTCTCGGGGAGGCCTCTTGGGCTGTGCTGAGGCCATATTGGGCTGTCTTGGATCGCTCTTGGGCCGTCTTGGGTCCCGTCTGGTTCCGTCTGGGCCTCTCTCACGCCGTCTTGGAGGTGCTTTAAGCTGGCGAGGAGCTTGTGCAGGTAGGGCGGAGCCAAGGGCGCCCCCTGGGCGGCGAAAGTCCTACTCTCGTTGTTTTTCCGGCTTAGACCGCCCATCGGTGCTCGGGGGGGGTTTGGAGACTTCTTGAGCCGTATTGAGGCCGTCGTGGGTTATCTGGATCGCTCTTGGGCCGTCCTCGGGCCCGTCTGGGCCTCTGTACGCCGTCTTGGAGGCCGTTGAAGCCGTCTGCATACGTGCAGATGTTCGAACACGTCTTGGGGCCGTCTTGGAGGTATCTTGGGCCATATTGGGGCGATCTTACGGGCCTCTGGCCGCTTGGGTCGTTTTGGAGGCATTTTGGACCGTCTTGGATGACGCTTGGTCTCTCATGGGCTGTCTTGAAGGTACCTCAAGTTGACGAGGACTTTACGCGCTTACGCGAAGCCTACGCGGAGCTCACGCGGAGCTTACGTTGCCGCCCGTTTCAGGCCCTGGTGTCAAGAATTGGTTACGTCACCGCTCTCTGTTGGGAGCCTTGGTCGTATCAGCTTGTTTACGTCACTGCTCGCTCTTGGGAGCCGCGGTGTTCAGGGCCCGTGACGGTCCGTTAGCAGGGAATTCGTTTCCTTGTCAACCGTCCGTTAAGAGGGAAAACCGTCACCCGATGTTCCTTGTTAAGTCCCTCTTAAGGGCTCGGTTAACAGGGAAAAGGGTGCCCGAGCGTCAGTCACCAGATGTTCCATGTTAAGCACCCGATGTGTCCCTGTTAAGGGCTCCGTTAACAAGGAAAAGGAGTTGGTTTTCTTCGTTAAGCACCAGAGGTTCCCTGTTAAGGGCTCTGTTAAAAAGGGGAAAAAGTGCCCGAGCGACAATGTCCTTGTTAGAGGCTCCGTTAACACGTAAAAAGGCTCTTAGATCTTGGGGCCGGGGATGCCACCCCCTCTGCATTCCCCCTAGTTTCATTCCTTCCGACTAAATGATCGCACGCTACGCGCCCTTTCCGTCATCTGACGCCGCGGTTGCCTACCCCCCTCTTATTTCTCCCGGCTAACGGATCGCGACGCTACGCGCGCTTTCTGTCGTCCTGCGCGTTGGTCAATCTTTAGAAAGGGTCCTCGAGGGTTCACACAAGCGCCACAGGCGGCGTGAGCAAGCCCAGGAGGGCCCAAATGCGTTATCCAGATGCTTTGAAAGAGCATAATGAAAAGGGATAACACGATACATCTACATGCACGCGTGTTCACATATATGTATGAGCCTTGCTGTATCGCCCAAAACCTGATAACATGGAGAGCGAGAGAGGGAGAGTGAGAGAGAGCAAGAGAGAGTCTTTGTCGTTCTCTCTCGTTATGTTGCTTCCTCCACCTGTTCCTCTTGTTTCTTTATGTTCTCCATATTTGTTCCCCTCATCTTCGTCCTTACCTTCTTTCCTTTGCGTAGTGGCCTTGCTTGATCTTTCTCATGAATGGCATACAGACTCCTGTGGTGGAGGTTTTGCAGGTGGACTCTTCTTCTTGTATGTCCCACCCTAACAAAGGATAGAGGTGGAATGTCAACCAGAAATGGAGGGCAAACAACACAACGAAGAAACCAAAGACTGAGGACAAGAAGGAGCACCAACTAAGCATCGCGGCAGTGCTTACGCCAGCTTCCGCCTACCCAACCGCCCCCACACTTCTCGCGCCGCCCCCCTTTTCTCTCCCTGGGAATGTAAGTCAAGGCGTTGCATCCTCTGACAAGGGGCCGAAGGCGAGGAGAAGGGGGAGCAGAATCAGGGAGAAGGGAACATAAGGAAAATGGAGGAGGAGGAAGAGGAGGGCGGATGGAGTCGCCTGGAGCCGCCCTGCCTCGGGCCTGCATCTCGTTGGCCGCCTTCTCCTAAATTGTCTCCTCCCTTCTCCTCCACCTCCTCGCTCCTCCCTCCCCCTCCCTCCCTCTCCTGCTCCCTCCCTCCCCTCCCTCACTCCCTCTCATCCTCCCTCACTCCCCTTCCTCCCCGCCCTCCCTCCCGTACCAGCCCGAGACATATTAATGTAATCAAGATTGGCACCATTTTGCCTCTCGGAGCCGATATCGATGCTCTCCCCCAGCTTCTGAGGGTACGCTCCCGAGATTGCCGCCGCCATGTGCCCGTTGATCTCGGGGACGGGGAATGAGCTCGCGGCTCTAGGTCACCCGTGGGGACGTGCAGAGAAGCGCGCTTCGCGCGCCGCGCCAGAGCGGCTGCCCTTCTCCACAGGGGCGGCGCGAGGGTGCGACGTTTCCCGAGGCCGGTCAGATCCCCACTACTCCTCCCTCGGAGCCTAAGAGATGGGGGTCAAGGCAGACGGGGGTCAGCCAGGGCACCGGATCTTGCAGGATCCTTCGAAGACCCCCTTTTGGCCCATTGGCTGACCCGGGTTTGCGAGCCCTGCATTGCAGTTTTTCGGTTCCCTGCTGTCGCGGGTTTGGATTGACCCAGGTCGGACGATCCCCGACTCCCGCTCCTCTCGACTCGCTCCCCCCCTTCCTCCCTCTCCTCCCCCCTCTCCTCCCCCCCCTCCCCCCTGGGGTACAGGGATGACCTCAAGACCAGACAGATCCCCATCCCCCCCAAGAACCCAGACATCCTCCGACATGGCTTTGTCAATGCGCGGCCCCAAAAGGTCCAAACTCCTTGTCTGAGTGTATCTTTTTACTGCCGGGTCCATTGCTGATGGCCCCAGGGCCCGATGACGGGCCGCATGGGCCGAGATCGAGGAAAAGCGCACGCATTGCACAAATCTTATATGATGAGCCAGTTTTCCACCATCACCACAATGAGTTGGAGGGGGGAAGGAGGTGGAGGAGGGGGAGAAGGAGGAGGAGGAAGAAGAAGAAGAGGGGGAGGAGGACCCCCCCTCCAACTGATGGTGGTGGTGGTGGTGGAAAACGGGCCCATCATTATCCTCGGAGATCTGGAAAGGGGAGGTCTGGGGGGCAGCAACGGGGGAGGGGCGAGGCGGTGAGCGCTCCTTGGGCGGTGAGGCCCCCCCTGGGGCGGGGGCGCCGTCCGATGGGGGCCGCGGCGCGCCCTCCAGGAGGCCGCCGAGACGGTGCGGCAGCCCGTTGAGGCCGAGGCGCCGCGGCCCCGACGGCGACTACGACGACGACGACGACGACGACGACGACGACGATGACGATGACGATGACGACAGACATGAGCCCCCTGCTCAGGGTTGACCCTGAGGGGGGGAAGTGAGAAGGAGAAGGCCCTCTCAGAGGGCGGCGGGGCTTCTCAGAAGGCCCCTGGGCTTGTGAGAAGGTTCCTCAGAAGGCGTGGGACACTTCTCAGAGGGCCAGCGGACTTCCGAGCCTCCTGAGAAGGTTTCCTCCTTCTCACTTCTCCCCTTCGATCACGACGGTGGAACCAGGACCACTTTGGGCTCGGGAGGGCCTCTGGTTTGCAAGCCGTGACCTCGCCTCGTGAGGTCCGCGCCGTGATGGCCGAGGAGCCCGCCGGGTGCCTGTGGCCCGTCCGGGCGCCCGCCCCCTCACCCCGTCGCCAGGCCCACGCGCGCGCCGCCGCGCTCCTGGAGCTGCAGGCCGCCATGTCGAAGGAGGGGCCCCTTTCTGACGAGGAGGAGGAGGAGGAGGAGGAGGAGAAGGAGGTGGGCCTGGCCGATGCCGGTGCCAGTGGTTCAGGTTGCCGTCGTCCCAGCCTCCGCCAGCGGCGCGTGCATTGCGGACATTCCCGAGAGGGGGGGGGGGGGGCGCCGCGCCCTGAGATCACCGAGCGCGTTGCACTCGTCGTCAAGTGCCTTCTCGCAAACCTCGGGAAAGGGACACGTGTCCGCCCCGAATGTAATTGATCGTAAATCCCCCCGCGGCGGATCCAAGCCACTTGCGAGCAGATGCTCTGCGAGCAGCGGAACGCGCTTGTCTGCGATCCGCGCACAGGGCTCCCGCGCGTCGGGCCCGTGCGGGTCGCCTCTCCACTGGCTCTGCTAGGATCGCGACTGGGCGCGGTGGGCACGTCAATGGCAACGTCAGGGTTAGAGAGGCGACGACGGCGACGGCGACGGCGACGGCGGCGACGGCGGCGGCGGCGACGGCGACGACGACGACGACGATGACGACGACGACGATGACGATGACGATGAGGATGACGATGACGATGACAGACATGAGCCCCCTCCTCAGTGTCGAGGTTTCCAGACGGTTTCGTCGGTTCTCGGCGGTTCTCCAGCCTCGTGGTGCTCCCTAGCAGCTGCGCCTCGCCGAGGGCCTTCCACGGGTGCCTGGATCGTCCCGAACGGCAGCCGGAGAGCCAGGTGACGGCCTGGGAGCCAGGTGTGCAACGTCAAGGGGGAAAAGGCTCAGGGGGAAACGCATCGAGCATCGGGGGCCTATCGCCGATCCATCGGCGACGTGTTGCCGATTCCCTTCTCGGTATTCCCCCCCCCCCCCCCCCCCCCCCCCCCCCCCCCCCCCCCCCCCCCCCCCCCCCCCCCCCCCCCCCCCCCCCCCCTGAGCCACCTTGTCGCCCTGTCGTTGACCCTCAGCACGGTCGCGCGAGCGGCGCGTTCTCGGCTACGCGTAAGAGTGGGCCTTCGCCAGAGCGACCTCTGGCGCGCGGCCTTCGGGGGGGCCCGCGGGGCAGGGGGGGGGCACACCCAGGCACGCAGGCCGCCAGCTTCGCACCGCGCGCAGCGATTGGCAGGTCGCGCGCCAAGGGCCACGGCTGCCCAGGGGTCGGTGGCTCTTGCGTGCAGCCGCTCTGCTCAGGGGCCGAGAGACCCCCCGGCCAGCTTTTCCCCGACTCTGTTCCCAACCAATCTTGAATGTGAATCTTCCTGTTGGCGCCGAGCCGCCGCCGCCTCGCCCCTCGTAGGGCCGTCCCGTGGGGCGAGCAGGCGCCGTGTCCGTGTCCGTGTCCTTGCCCCCCTCCCACAACCGGCGTCCACCAGGCAGACCGCCTTAGGCGTTTGCCAAGCAGTCCCGCCCTGGCAGGCTCCTCCCCCAGGGTGTGAGTGCGCCGCTGGGCCTCGCCCGAGGGGGAGGGGGGTGCGCGACCAAGCGACCGAAGGATGCCCAGGAGAGGGGTGCAGTGCCCTCCTTTGGACCTGGACGATTGAGAAGATATTCCGTGTTCGACGTCGCCGTCGAGGCCGCCAGGCCGCAGCCAGCGAACCGGACAAGAATCGATTCTTTGTTGAAGTATGCCCGCCCGATTTGGTATTGAAATTGTTTTGTCGCATCATTGTGGGCCTTCTGCCCTCGGGCGTGCCTGCAGGCCGATCTCGGTCGCTTCCGCCTGGCTCCTCAGCACGTCCGGCCAACCCCTGGCAGTCCTCGGGGGCCACATCGCCGTGGCAGGTTGCCAGGCTCCGGTCGGACGAGAGCGGGGCGATCTCGGAGGCCCAGAGGTTGGCGCCAGCAGCAACATGGGTGATTGCCCCCTTTCGGCAGCACAACAGCAGCAGCAGCAGCAGCAGCAGCAGCAGCAGCAGCAGCAGCAGCAGCAGCATCGGCAACTCTGATCAGGCATGTGGGGAGCACGCAGTGAACAGAAAGGCTGGGGAGCCGTCATTCCGGAACAGGGGGAGGATAGAGAGGAGGAACTAGAGGAGAAGGAGGAGGAGGAGGAGAAGGAGGGGGAGGAGGAGGAGGAGGAGGAGGAGGAGGAGGAGGAGGAGGAGGAGGAGGAGGAGGAGAGAGGAAGAGGAGGAGAGGAGGAGGAGGAGGAGGAGGAGGAGGAGGAGGAGGAGGAGGAGGAGGAGAAGGTGGGGGAGGAGGAGGAGGAGGAGGGGAGGAGGAGGAGGAGGAGGAGGAGGAGGAGGAGGAGGAGGAGGTGGAGGATGGAGGAAGGAGAAGGGAGGAGGGAGGAGGAGGATTCGGCGGATGAAGAAGAGAATGAGGAGGGCGAACCGGACGGCGAGAGGCCTCTTGGATGCTTCTCGGATTCTTTTCGGATAATTCGAGAGTTTATTGTAAGCCTGGTGTGGCGTTTTTATTGCCTTTTGGCGGACCCAGGGGCCTCTTGAAGCGTCTTGGGGGCCTCTTGGGGGTTATTTGGGGCATCTTGGAGGCCTCTTCGGGCTTCCTGGGCGCGTCTTAGGGCCCTCTTGGGGCACTCCCAGGAACCTCCGGGGCCATACGGGGGCCATCTTGGAGGAGCTCGATCAAAGAAGGAGGAGTACTCGATTAGGCCCCCCAGGAAGCCCAAATTTGGCCAAGCCTGAATTCTTTATACGATCAATGATATTGGCGTTCTCTTTCCGAGGCCATCATGGAGGCTGCAACTCTCCGTTGCCCCTCCTCCAGGTCCAGGGTGAGGGGGGGAGGGAGGGGTCAAGGCACCCTCCTAATTAGATAGTAAGCCACCTAGCTCACTCCCACCCGGCCTCCGAACACATAGGTCATAGGTAACATCCGAGCCTCAGCATGTTCAATGGTCTTCTTTGGATGGGCAGCTACTGGGAACCAAAACCGACCCCATGGGCACGACGCTGGGGCGAGGTGCGCCACGCGTGCCAGGCGCGTCACGCGCGCCAGGCAACCCTGGGGCCCGAGCGTGCCAGGCACGCATGGTGCGCCAGATGCGCCACGTGCGCCAGGTGTGCTGCATACTCCAGCCGGGCCAGGTACGCCACGTTCGGGACACGTGCAGAGTGTGTCGGGTGCGCCTGTGCACGTGACAGCACACATCGGGAAGAATGTCGGACCCCACCACCCTTGTCGAACTCCAATTCTCATCATTGTGTCTGGTGGGCCTGCGCACAGCACGCCATACGGCATCACTCCCGCCGTCCCTGTCAGAAACGCTTGACAGTGATCGCGGGATGGCCGCGCATGATTCAGATGCAGCCGCGAGGTGCATTTGCATTGTTTTTTGACGGAGTAAGAACCCTATTCGCAGCAGGCAATCTGTTGACACCCCCGCCGTCCATGTCACGAAAACAATTCAAAGGGCTCGCCGGCCTCACGAACATGACTCAAGGCTTTGCCCCCGAGTGTGTGTTCGTATTGTTTTTGTTACGGATGATCGGGGGGGCGCATCGGTTTGGTTGCGCATGTTCCGAATTTGGAGGCAGTGTTTGTTTTGTATGGTTTTGTTGGATAGGGATGTTACGGGGGGGGGATCGTAGGGTCGGCATTGTTCTTGGTTGGCTACCAGTTGCCTGGGGGAGGGGGTATATATTATGGGGGAACGGTGATAAACCCCTCCCCGAAGGGGAAGGAGGGGGGCTGGAAGAGGAAACTCGCTGAACCTTTCACGCCCTTGAGGGCTGGTGGGGTTAATCGCGCGACCGCGCATCCGCGGGATCGCGCACCAAAAGCCAGACCGCGAGGGCGCGGATACGGATATGTTCGCCGCTCGTGCGCAGCCTCGAACGGCGGCGGCGGCGGCGACGGGGGGCCCGCTGCGCCAGCCCTTCGGCTGCACGGGCACTTTGCCGCCGCCCCCCCCCGAGGAGCTGCAGGCCGCTCTGGAGCGGGCCCAGGAGCGCCACGAGCAGGAGCTGCGGGCCGGTCTTGCGCAGGCCCCGCGGCATCCGACCCCTGGGGCGTCTTTCGATCGAGTCAGAGCTCAGAGTCGGCTGGGGATCTGAGGTGGCCCAGGAAGGTGGGGAGCGAGGTTTGAGGTGCTGGGTTCGAGAAGGTTTGTGGCTTTGTTGGTCTCCGGCGGGCCACTTTCGGGCCCCAGGATCCAGGGTGGAAAACTGCAACGGCATGCTTTCGGCGGACAGTCTTGACCAAGGCGAGATCTTGGAGCGCTGTCGCAAGGACGGCCACGAACACCTCATGGACCCGAACATTGCACCAGATGGGCCTCAGGAGGGGTCCAGACCGATTTTGAGTGGATTTGACTTCACCCCCCCTCGTGACAGATTTTCTCGGGGCCCAACCAGCTCAGGCCCCCCAGCCGCCTTCAAGTCAGAGCGCAAGCCCATGCATCCGGCGCCTGCATGCGGTCTTGCCCACAGGGGCCGCAGGTTAGTTCCCAAGGGGGCACGGAGCGAGTGATGGGTGTGCCAAAGTGGGCGGGAGAGGGGCCGGCATGCAGCATGCGGGCTCGCCCATTGTGGACTTACGTGGCGCTGCCTATGTGGCGCGAATCGTATGAGCGGTGCGCAAAACTGGAGGATGCGGCATGCGAGCGCGAGAAGTCAGGGATGGCGAAATGAGGTGGAGGGAGAAGAGGAGACGGGTTGAAGAAGGAGGGGAGAGAGGAGACGACGACGCGGACGCAGACGCAGACGCAGACGCAGACGCCGTTGCCGACGCCGACGAGGGTGCGGAGGACGAGAACGAGGTCGGCGGCGAGGCGGGCGGCAGCAGGGCACCCGCGCCCGCCCGCGCAAGGCGTTCTCCGCCCAGTCCTCGCCGATCATGGGCGCGTGCAAGCAGCAGCTCCAGGACCAGCGCGGCGGGGGGGGGGGGTCCAGTCGAGCCCGGCACTGCGCGGGTCCAGGGACCCACAGTCGGTCGACGCTCAGTCCAGTTGGAGTAAGGCCAGTCGGAGCCCTGGTGGGCCTCCAACTGGACCTCGCCTCTTTTCCAGCGGCGCGAAGCCCGGCCAGAGTAAGCCCAGTGGGCGCCAAGACGTCCTACTTGCTGGAGCTCCATCTAGACTTGGCCTCTCCCGGCACAGGAGGGCGCCAATTGCGTCAGGTCCCCGTCCCGTCGACGCGGCGGCGCCGTCGCCGTGGGCGTTCGAGGTTGAATGCCCGCGGCCTGGATTCGGTGGCCCCGTGCGCGGCCCAGGCCAGGCGTTGGCTGAGACTGGGCGCCAGTGGTGGGGAGGGGCGTCGCTCGCGCGCCTATTTGCTTCTGTACGCATTGCGCGAATGTTCGCATTACGAGGTTGGTCTCGCGTGTTGGGATGTCGTATTCATTTGCGTGGTTGGGCGCGTAAGCCTTTTGTTGGCTCTTTTCCCCCCCCTCCTGGGGGAGAGGAGGAGGAGGAGGAGGAGGAGGAGGAGGAGGAGGAGGAGGAGGAGGAGGAGGAGGAGGAGGAGGAGTTGGAGGAGGAGGGCGCCGCACCCTTGAAAGAGGAGGGAGGGGATTGATCTGTGCCCTAGCGGGCTTCTCTTACAGTTCAGAATTCTTTGCCTTTCTACTACCTCCCGTAATTCACATGCTGGCTTTACAATTTTGAGGTAGATCAAGCGCCACGTTCCGATCAGTTCTTTTCTCGGATCGTAGACATCAGGACGCGACGGCTCACGCAAGCCAACGTTGATCCAACATTAAGTGGAGGAGGATGGGAAGGGGGGAGGAGGAGGATAAGCAGGAGGAGGAGGAAGGAGGAAGGAAAGACGGAGGCGGAAGAGGAGGAGGAGGAGGAGGAGGAGGAGGCGGCCCACCCTCTCTCATGCAGTCCTCCCTCACACCATCATTCGGACCGTCTCGGGTTATCTTGGAGCGTTCTTGTGCCGTCTTGGTGCCGTTTAGGGAGTCCTTTTGAACATTTCTTGGGGCATTTTCTGGGCCATCTTGAGAGTCTCTTGGAGCTGTCTAGGGTCGCCGTGGGGAGCTCTGAAGGTTGGGCTGTGTTGGCATCTCCTTGGCTCCTCTGGGGCTCTCTTGGAACCATCTTCAGCCGAGGGGGCCAGGAAACGCAAGCCACGCACACACATGCGAATTCCAATTGGATACTAATTATGTTGGCCTTCCTGCAGAGCTTCTTGGCTTTCTCATTGATGTGTTGGAAGCCTCATGGCGGCTTCTTTATAATGTTCCGCTGTCTTGGCGGCCTTGGGCGCCTTCTAAGGCCGTTTTTGGAAGCATTGTAATGCCGTGGAGATCTCCAGGGACGCGGCGGGGCCGCCCAGGAACCCTCGGGAACGCAGATGCACGCAGCATTGTGCTACCTGGAGGTGGGGGTGGGCCTGGAACAAATGCATGCTTTTGGTCAGACAGCGCTTGTCATTCTACCACGCCTCGACGTACCAGTGGTCACGTTGGCGGTGACATGCACAATTCGGAGACAAATTTTTGGAACTGGATTAGAGGCGCGTGTCGCGACCGCGTTTTTTTGCGGCGTCTTCATGTTGGCTCCAGCGGTAGTGTGTGCCCTCGGCGTTTCCATTACTGCATGCTTGTTGGCTTGCTCGAGTGCCTGCGTGCCTGTGGGTTTGCATGCGTGCGCGTGATGAGCATGGCGCTGTCGCCGGTCTCTCGTCGTGCTTGCGGGCCGCGGCCAGATCGCACGCGCGCGTCGCGTTCGCGCGTGTCGCAGGCGCGGGTTGCAGGTGGGCGCCGCGGACTTGTGTCGCGGGACCAGGTCGCGTCGCAGGTCGCGGGCGCGGGTCGTGGGCGCGGTTGACGGCTTGCGATTCGTTGGCCACGCATCATTGTTGCTTTCCCGCCACGAAGCCAAGTGAGATGTGCTTGTCGCCGAGGGTGTCGCGGCATTTTGACGTATTTGAGGCGCGCAGATGTGGACGGCGCCAGGGATTGCGTGGAATGTTGGAGATGTCTGGTACGCGCGGATGCGTTTGGTGCTGAAATCTTCGTGGCGCGTTGAATCGCCTTGAGACGTTCGGGTGCGGTTCGCGCCGAGGTTTTCGTGACACTGATCCTTTCTGAGACGCGCCGATGTGCACAGCCCCGATGTTTTCATTTGCCTTTCAGAGTCTGTGAGGCACGCATAGGCGGTTCGCGCCGCGGCGTCGTGGCCGATTGAGACCTCTTCACGCGCGCGGATGTGATTGGCGCTGAAGGTTTAGTAGCAATCCCCTCAATGTCACGTTCAATCTCCACGGGGAAGTATTTGGCGTGTGTTTTTGTAGGGCGTACGCACGCGTTGAAACCAATGAGACACTCACAATGGTCGTAGTGAATTCTTGACGCTTTGCGTTTCCCACCTGCTTATCAAAGAACAGACACCAGTCGAGTTGCCCAGAACAGGGGTGTGCAGCGGCCGCGTCGTTGCTTGCGTTTCGCGGTCCTTCGTGTTTTTTTTGGTTGAGTTGTTGTTTGCCGTCGCCTGCGGTGCCTGTAAATACGTCGCACCTGGGTCAGTTACCATTCGTGCCCGCTTTCGAGGGACTCCTGGGGCCATCGTGGGGCAATCTTGGAGGCCTCTTGGGCCTTCGTAGGGGCTCTCGTGGGGCCCTCTTGGGGTGCTCCTAGGGGGTCTCTTGGGGCCCACTTGGAGGTCTTGGGGGCCCTCTTGGGGACAACTTGGATGCAATAGATCAAACAAGAGAGCGGCGTAGATCAGGGTACCCCCGTCTGGGCTTAAACATTAGCCTCTTGGGGCCATCTTCGCTCGGTGTTGGTTGCTCGTTGTGCCTTGTTGGGCCCCCGGTAGGGCCATTTTGGATCCATCTTGAGCCCTCAGGAGCCCATCGGAAGAGAACCAGCGATACGTCAAGCACATTGTCAAACCAGGCAGGAACATTGGTTTTGACGGCTCGGAGGGCACGCGGGGCCGACTTGAGGCGATCCTCGGGGTCTTTGGAGGCACGGTGGATGTTATCGGGAACCCTTTTGTGGCATTTCGGGCGATCTTGGAGGCCATCATGGGTTCTCTGGGGAGCCACCTCGGGCCAAAACGGACCTTGGCACCTCGAAGGATGAGGGTTCCAGACCCAGGGGGAGGGGGGAGGGGAAGAGGGAACTCCCTCCCCGAAGGGGAAGATAGGGATTGGCAGAACGAACTCCCTAGACCACTCACGCCCTAAGGGCTGGCGGGATGATGGTTCGACGGAACGTTTCAAATTGGGCCGAGCTCGCAGGGGCCACCGCCCAGAGGCGCTCCATGTGGCCGCGGAACAGAACTTTGGTCAACTCGTTGGCCCACGTCGGTTCTGCACATGTATTGTATGATTTGTTTTCTGAAGGCAGTCCTTGATCTGACAATTGTGACAAGGCCCCCTTTGCAACCTTGTTATGTTTCCATACCTAATGTTCTTGGCCTGTTGATAGGGGGATTCGGTTATTAGACAATGTGGTTTGTATTTCCTACAGATCTATCGTGGGGTCATGGATCATTACGGTTGACTGTTACTTGTAGTCGTAGTTTCACGCGAGGCCATCGCAAATTGAAATTCGCGCATTTACCAAAAAGTAATCTACGTGTGGTCTCAGAGCACACCAATGCGGAATCTCAAGCAAGTTGGTTCTACAACGCATTGGCGCCCCCTGGCCCCCGCATTCACTGCTCGAACCAAGCGTCGACCGCTCCAGATGTTATCCTGGGGGCCGCGGGCCGTATTGCGCGTGCCACCGAAGACTGATATCGGCCGCCAGCCTGGGGGAAAGTGCGAGAGGGTGGACCTTCTCAGACAGCTCGGCAGTTCTCGGGCCTTCTGAGCAGTTTTCCCATCTTTCCCCGAAGACACAGAAGAAGGCCTCAGAAGGCCGGAAGGGCTTCTGAGAAGCCTTGCCGCCTTCTCAGAAGGCCTTCTCTTTCTCACTTCTCCCCCCTCGCTCGACGCCGATGATCACTTGGGGCCACGCGTGCCGCTTCACCCGCGCCCGCGCGCCGCTTTGCCTCGAGGGGCCGCCAGCGCGCCGCGCGCCGCGGCCTTCGCGTTGCCCTTGTGGCCTCGGCCCCCCAGACCTCCAACGGACAGCTTCTCGGATCTTCGCCGTCCTCGTCGGGTCTTGGGGGGGCTTTCTCGCTCCGGGAGGCTCTCAGGCGGAGGGCGTCCCAGGGGTGCCCGAGTGCCGTCTCGGCCGCCAGAGGCCCAAGTTATGGCCCGAAGGCCACCTCGCGTGTTCCCAGGTCAGGGGCTCGAACGTTGGACGTGCGGACGCAGTTCCGTCTCTCCTCTCGGCGGCGACATCCGAACCAGCTCGATGGGCGGCGTGGTAGGACTCGAAATTCGTGGAACACGTGGCGAGATCAGAAGTCTACCCCCACCTCCCATCGATTCAAGACAATCGATGTTTGGTGGGGGTAGGGTTCGGATGTCGCCACCCATCTTCCTTCCTCGTCTTTCCCTTCTGCCCGATTTCCTCGCCCTCTTCCCCTTCCTTCCGTGCCAGTTCTTGCACGGTGGAGGCCCCATCTCATCAGTTGGGAAGTTGAAGGTTTTCAGCACACGGGCTGAACCTCGTTACCTTTCCTTGCCCTCTGCCTCCTCCTCACCGGGGGGGAGGGGAAAAAGAGTCTAGAGTTTCAACACTATTGAGCACTATTGAGCCTGAGGTTGGCCAGCATTCTCGGCCTCTGCAGGTCGTATACTCGGGCCCCGGGAGCGCGAACCAAAGCGGCTCGGGATGGAGCACCAGCCCCCGGGAGGCGTGTCGAGGGGCCCGGTCGCATCGGGAACCAGCAGACTGCACCCATCAAGCTCGCGGACGTCCGCGTGGATTTCGGGGGTCGGCTCTGTCCTGTCCAGCGCCTCGGTATTGTTTGTACCATCCCCATCCCCATCCCCATCTCTTTCGAGACCCCACCAAATTACCACCCCAGTTGGGGATACACCCTTCGAAACCCGAAGGGAACGCCTTATATATATATATTCATATATATATATATATCCCATTCTAGAGGGGTAAATTGGCCAGTGGGGCCTAGGCCACGCCGCTGGGGATGGGCATCGGTGAAACGATTCTCAGTCTGCGGCGCGCTTAGCATGCAGGGAGGAGAGGCGCGTGGGGGGTTCAGCGCCGGCCTAGTAAACCCGCTAGCGCCCCAAAGGTTTGAGCTTTTCTGTTTTGAAGCAGGCGTCTATGACACTGGGGCGTCGTGATAAAATGACGGCTGGCACCTTCTCTCCGCTACGGGTTTTGGGACCCTTGACGGATTGATTTGGCCTGAGAGATGCAAAATATGGATGGAGTCAAGAGTTCGTGCCGTGATTTTCTCATGGCGTTGCGATGTTATACCAGGATGTCGTGTCGGGTCGTGTGCACGCTTGTTTCGCATTCCTGTGTGGATGCGTCGTCTGAGGAGGTTTCGATTGTCTTTTGTTCAAGAGGGCCAGCGGCAAAAGAGCCTGGAGAATTCTAGCTTTCCGTTCCGCCCTGATTCTCTTTCGGCGCGAGGCAACGCAAGGCAGAGGAGTTGGGAGCAACTCAGTGCAGCGCGGGGCAGGGCGCTGTCGTGTAGAGCAGAGCAGGAAGCACAGGACGAGGGGGGAGCGAGGTCAAGGGGAGGACGAGGAGGAGCAGGAGGAGACATGTGGACGTGCCCAGACTCCCAGCGTTGTGCACTTGGTCACGGCGGGGACCCCTGGAGATTTCGACCCGAGCCGTTTCTCGACAGTACTTGGGCCTGGTGAGAGCCCCCAGGGCCGAAGCACAAGACACGCTATCATTCCGCCAGGGCGAGGATTTCGACCCGCTTGGGCCGGCTGAGCAGAAGTGCATCGATTGTCTCCCCACCGTTTCAACAGTATACGATTGTTCTAGCAAGCTGGAATGGCCTCGCTAGCCCCACAGATGGGCTCCGAGTAGATGGGGTTGGAGGGCACCGCCGCATCGCTGATGCATCGGCGATGCGGCTCGATTTGGAGCCCGATGTTCTCCACGCCGACGTCGGCGATGCATCGTCGATGCGGCTCGATCCTCCAACCTCATGTGCTCGGACCCCATCCAGGAGGCTTCTATACAAATGGGACGGCGTAGTTGCTCCACCCTGTTCCACCAAGGTCGAAGACCCTCTCTGCGTTAGAGGCCTGTGGAGGCTTTCTGGCCCCTCTGGCGCGCGCGCCCGCGGGCTGGCCACGCGCGCGCGGGGTGCCGCGGGTGGAATGGCGCGGGGTGCCGTTGCAGCAGGCGCGGACGCCGCGGCGCTCTCCCGCAACTGACAGGGCCCATTTCGGTCCGATCGATCCGATGGGACGTCGGTTTCGGCCAGTTCGATCCGATTCGATTTCGATTTCCCAGCGATCCGAGATGCGACCCGACGCTTGCATGGCGTTTTTGTGCATCCTGGTGCAGCCGATCCGATTCGATCTTGACTCCGTGCCGATGCAGTCCGATCGGACGCACGATGTTCCGAGTCGGTCCGATGTTCCGATTCGATGCCGTTTGCTCTTGCCCCGACCCCCACAATTGGCGTCTACTGACTAAACAGGCCCGCACGCGCTCTGCACATCGGAACATCGGCATGAAGGAAAGTGCTCCTGAGGGAAACAGGTCGTGTGTTTTTTCGCCGCATGTTTTGGCCTCCCGCGGCCCCCACCAGGCCCCTCCCGCCGCCTCTCTTCGAGGGACGACCCCACAGCTTGCTTTCACTAGTCTCGAAGAACAAACATCGGCACAACAATCGACTTTCTCAGGTCGGCGCAGATCTCTTGGGCTGGCGCTGGGCCCCCCTGGCGGCGCCTCCGCCGCCACCGCGCCGCCGCGCGCCAGAGAGGGGGGCACTGCGCTTATCAAAGAAATCCGCGCGGGTATCCCCGAACTTCCAAGAGTGTATCTGTGTGCAGTTGTTTGCTCCTATACAAACGATCCCGCTTGTGTGCTGCACAGCCCTGTCCTATTCGATCCCCTCTTCAGGTGCGCTTGCGACAGGGCCTTTGTTGTGGTGTGGGTGGCCATTGTGCGAGTGGTTCTTCCGCCCCCTGTCTCTTGCTTCCAGCTGGGGTGAATGCCACACGACTGGGGCCGACTTCGTTCTCCTCCTCGTCCCGGTCCTCCCCCTCCTCATCCCTCCCCCTTTCTCGTCGTCCTCCTCCTCTTCCTTCTCTCGGAGAGGCGGAGCAGGCAGGGAGGCGACGACGCCTGCACCGGGGACAGCGCCGGCGGCGACGATTGGCGGCGGGCGGCGGAGATGCGTGCGCGGAGGAGGGGGCGCGCCGGACGAGCGGGATCAGCGGGCGGAGGGGCGAGCGGAGCAGCAGCGTGGCAGCAGCGGGAAGGAGACGGCGAGCACCACGGCGAGCAGTCGGAGCGGCAGCACGGGCCGCCATTGCGCCCTCACCGTTGCGCTACCCCCTGCATCCCCTCTCCGCCGCACAGGAAATATGCACGGGCACCCTCCAACGGATTGTTCTTGGGCCTCAGGGGGGGAAGGGGTGTATAAATCACCGCTGAGAGCCAGCGACTTCATACACCGACCAACCCCCCTGAAGGCACATGCAGAGTTCGTCGGAGGGTGTCTGTGTATATATTTTCGTGGCGCCTCCCTTCCGCAACCCGCTCCTTGTGGGCTCGTCGATGTGGGACCTTCCTTGAGCCCATATGACAGATCTGCTCGATCTGCTCGATTCTAGTTTGACCCGAGTTGGACTGGAGCTCGACTCAAGTCGACGGACGTGCGACGCAGCATCGACGCACGAGCGGAGCGAGCGGCTCCAGAGGGCCCCCAGAGCGAGCATTCAGGGCTCACGTCACTCCCTCTCCCTGCTCGCCCCGGCAGAAACTCCCCCCTCCAATCCCTTTCGCTTGCCCCCTCTGAAAGGCTTTCGTCCGGATTTTCTCGCCTCGAGGTGCTTGCCAGCAGCTGCGCCTCGCCGAAAGCGTTCTTGGCTTGCCCGAATCGTCCCGAACAGCCGCCAGAGGCTCGAGTTACGACCTCGTCGGGTCGCGCAAAAGTCCCCACGGGAGGTTATCGGCCAGTTTCGGCCCAAGGGATCCTCCTGTTTCGGGCCACGGGGCCGTCGACAGGACGTCGGAGGATGGAGGAGCCTCTCCTCCAATCCCTCCCTGGGTCCTGGGAGGCGTCCGCTAGGCAGACCCGCGCACCGCCTCGCCTGCGCCATTTTTCTGCAGCACTCGCGCCTCGCACCCGAGGGCTCTGGCGCGCTGGTCGTCTTGCTGCGCGTGCAGCCGCGACGCTGGAGCTGAGGACCACTTCGAGCTAACAGGAGGGGCTCCGGTTTTCGGGCCGTCCCTCAGGACTAGGCCCGGGCACCTATTCGAGGCCGAGGCTTGCCGTGGCGGGGAAAGAACCTTCGTCTCCTGCTCGGCAGTTCCCAGGGTTGCACGACGACTGCGCGCGATTCCTTCTCCCCAAAGGCCGGCGCAGTGAACCGATACCTCCCACCCCCGTCCTGAAGTCCACCGCAGATTAGGGGCAGCATGGGCGTGCCCATCGTTCATGTGGGCCTCCCGCGGAGGCGCGAAGATGACCTCGCTTCGCGCGTGACTGTCTGTGCCAGAGAGCCTGCTCTCTCTATGGAGGTGGCGCGAGGGATCGAAAACAGCCTCGCTGCGCGGGGGGTAACGCACGAAGCTAGGTGACATGGACTCGACTGGTTAGCGCCCTTACCTTCTCCATGCCATCACCCTTCCTCTCCTCCACCCCACCCGCTCGCTGCCGTCCTCAGCCGTGTTCCCATCATTGTTCTCCTCGCCCCCTCCCCCCAGCCGTGAGCGGTGTCCCTTTCCTCAAAACATGCCAAAGCAGAAAAGTGCTAGCAGGCCCAGGTGACGCACACACACACACACAGGCTCCCACATCCCCAGTGCGAACGCTACCCTTCTTTTCATCTCCGTGTCACCACCGTCACCCACGTGTCGGTGGGAGCCCCTCAGCGTATTACTTTTCGTCCGATGACTTTGCTGTTCTTTCAACATACGGGGTTCCCACCGCGGCATGTGACTGCTACTCTACTGTGGGACGCAACTCCTGGGATGTTAGATTCAGCACTGGCACTGGTATTTCTGAGATCGAGAAATGGTCAAATCTAGCTCTAGCATCATCTGTGTCGATCTGGTTTGAGCCCGCTTCGTCCAAACTCAATCCCTGGCCCCATCCGGCCAAATTCGGCTTAGTGGCCTCTTCATCGGGCTCAGGATCCAATTTGAGCGGCAGTAAGACATGGGATCGTCTGCGCCGACATTGGCGCGTAAGCTGCCCGCGTAAGGTCGCGCGTAAGCGCCCTCGTCTCCAATGTGGCGTGCCGCGCGGGCGGCCCGCGTAAGCCAACGCGTAAGTTCGCTATGTCATCTCGCGTAAGACCCGTTTCTTTTCGTCGCCTACTTGGTCGTTCTCGCGAAGATCTCCCAGGAGTGGTCTCCCCATCCTCTTGCTCCCCGGATATTCCCCCGAGACGTTCCGCGCCCAGAGCCGTGGTTGCGCGGAGCGGCCCAGCAGACGGAGCGCGCCCGCGCCGCGCGCCGGCCCCCGCCTTTCGCCACCGCAGTGCTCTGGCGCCTGCCCGCTGGGCTGCGGCCTGCCCCGCCCCTGGGCCCTCGGGTGGGAGGGGCTCGGCGTACAGTCAGCCCGCGTGGTAATAGGGAAGCACACAATGGCATAAAACTCGGAGGTCCGCGCGGATTTCTCGGATCGGCGTTGGACCTTGGCGCGCCGAGCGCGCCAGGGGCGGCGCCGGAGGCGCCGCCAGGGGTCTCTCTCCAGCGCCGATGCGAGAAATCCGCGTGGACCTCTGATTGTTTATGCTTATACAACTGTGCTACAATAAATAAGGATGAGCAAGGTTCGAGGGTTACCCCTGCATCCTTGCCCTTCGGCCCACCCTTAGCCGCTTTAGCTGGCCGCGCCCCGCCCGCAAATTGTCGACGTGGCCTCCCAAGGCCTTTGCATCCTGATCGTGCGTCATTATCTTAAAGGCTGCTACCTTTGCCGCCGACCCCAAATCCTGGGCCTGGTTTTTGGTAATGGGTTTTGTGGGTTTCAGGGGCAGCTGGTCGTTGCCGAGGTCGCCATGGCTGCCGAGGTTGCTCTCGTAGGTGTGATGGTCCTGGAGCGAGTTGTTGGAGGGTGGAGGTCATTTAACACAACACCCAGAGGGTGCAGGAAGCTGGGGATGTCAGACGTGTTGGGGGGTTCCGGCGTTTGTTTTTGTAGAGCGGGCGACTGTGGATGTCAGACGTTGTGGGGGGTCCCAGCGCCTGTTTTTGTAGGGTGGGGGGTCTTGACAACACCACACCCAGGGGGTCCAGGAGGCTGGGGATGTCAGGCGTGGTGGAGGGTCCCGGCGCCTGTTTTTGTAGGGTGGGGGGTCATTTAAACAACACCAAATTGCAGAAGGTCCAAGAGGCAGGTCAGACGTGGTGGGAGGTGCCGGCGCGTGTTTTTGTAGGGTGAGGGGTTTTGAAAACAAAACGTGGTGGGGATCTTGGCGTCTATTTTTGCACGGTGGGGGGTCCGTAAAACACCACACGCAGAGGGTGCAGGAGGCTGGGGATGTCAGACGTGGTGTGGGGGTCCCGGCGCCTGTTTTTGTGGGGTGGGGGGTCTGCAGAACACCACACCCAGAGGCTGGGGTTATCAGACGTGGTGGGGGGTCCTGGCGCCTTTTTTTTTTGTAAGGTGGGGGGGGGTCGTAAATCACCACACCCAGAGGGTCCAGGAGGCTGGGGATGTCAGGCGTGGTGGAGGGTCCCGGCGCCTGTTTTTGCAGGGTGGGGGGGCATGAAAAAATATCAAATTTCAGAAGGTCCAAGAGGCAGGGGATGTCAGACGTGGTGGGAGGTGCCGGCACGTGTTTTTGTAGGGTGGGAGGGTTTGAAAACAGCACACCCAGAGCACGTGGTGGGGGGTCCTGGAGCCAGTTGTTGTACGGTGGTGGTCTTTAGAACCCCACAACCAGTGGGTGCAGGAAGCTGGAGATGGCAAATGTGGTGGGGGGTCCCAGGGCCTGTTTTTGTAGGCTGAGAGGTTTTTTTAAAACATGACATCCAGAGTGTCCAGGCGGCTAGGGATGTCAAACGTGGTGGATGGTGCTGGCCCTCTTTTTCTATGGTGGGGGGTCATAAACTCACCACACCCCAGAGAGTCCAGGAGGCTGGGGATGTCAGACGCGGTGGGGGGTCCTGGCGCCTGTTTTCCAAAGGGTCTGGGAGGTTGAGGATGTCAAGCGTGGTGGGGGGTCCCGGAGCGTGTTGTTGTACGGTGGGGGTCATAAAAGCACCACAGCCTAAGAGTCCAGGAGTGTTGATGTCAGACGTGGTGGGGGGTCCCTGCGTTTGTTTTTGTAGGGTGGGGGGTCTTGAGAACACCGCAGAGGGTGCAGGAAGTTGGGGATGTCAGGCGTGGTGGGGGTCCCAGCGCCTGTTTCTTGTAGGGTGGGGGGGTCCTTACAACACCAAACTGCAGAAGGTCCAGGCGGCTGTGGATGTCAGACGTGGTGGGATGTCCCGGCGCCTGTTTTTGTAGGGTGGTGGGGGTCTGAAAACAGCACACGCAGAGCTTCTAGGAGGCTGGGGATGTCAGACGTGGTGGGGGAATTTGGCGCCTGTTTCGGTAAGGTGGGGGGTCCTTAAAACACCACGTACAGAGGTCCAGGATGCTGGGAACGTCAAACTTGGTGGGGGGTCCTGGAGCGAGTTGTTGTACGGTGGGGTGTCTTCTTTAACACCACGCCTAATTACCAGAGGGTGCAGGAAGCTGGGGATGTCAGACGTGGTGGGGATCTTGGCGTCTGTTTTTGTAGGGCGTGGGGTCTTTAAAAGATGGCGGCTGGGGATGTCTGACGTGGTGGGGGGTCCCGGAGCTAGTTTTATACGGTGGAGGTTCGGCTACATGTAAGAGTGGCCTTTGGCCAGAGTGACCTTTAGTGTTGCCCCTAATGGTGTCGGATAGATTTTCTTGAGGAGTGCGCTCGGCCTCGTGTCGGCGCACGCTGCACCAGTCTGCGATCGCATCAGAGCGCGCTTGATTCAGGGTGCGCCCCTCGCAATCGATCGCAACGCATGCACGGTGTATTCTGCCGCGTGCTTCGTTTGGCGAGGCGGGGCCCAGTCGAGCGGGCGACGTGCTCTCCGCTTTGGGACTGGTCCCAAATCGTCCTGGAATAACTTTGACGAACTTTGACCAACTTTGATTTACTTTGAATAACTTTTCGCACTCCGCGCTTTACAACTCAATTCTTTACCATTGAAAGTTATTTGCGGCCGCGGGGGGGCCAAGTTTCGGCCCGGTGTGGACCTTGACGCCGGACCCGGTCAGACGTCATCGCGATGCGGCCCGGCAGTGCCAGAACATTCCGCGGTGGCGCCCATTACGTCTCGTTTCGCATAGCCCTCGGGCGGGTGTTCTGGGGCGCCCAGAACGAATTGGCGGAATTCCGCAATTGCCTGCTGGCGCTGGGGTTCTATCGAAGCGCGCCCCACCGATCGTTGATGCAATCCGACGGCCTCGGCTTGCGCGGTTGCTCCATGCCCCCACGGGCCCCCCTAAGGCCGCGCACCAAAGGGCCCTCTTGCTTAGGGTCATTCTTACCTGTCGCTGAGGGGTCCTTGAATCACAACACCCAGAGGGTGCAGGAGGCTGGGGATGTTAGGAATGGTGGGGGGTCCCGGCGCCTGTTTTTGTAGGGTGGGGGGTCTTTAGAACACCACACCCAGAGGGTCCAGGAGGCTGGGGATGTCAGACGTGGTGGGGGATATTGGCGCCTGTTTCGGTAAGGTGGGGGGTCCTTCTAACACCACGTACAGAGGTCCAAGAGGCTGGGAACTTCAAACTTGGTGGGGGGTCCTGGAGCGAGTTGTTGTACGGCGGGGTGTCATTTTAACACCACGCCCAATTACCAGAGGATGCAGGAAGCTGGGGATGTCAGCCGTGGTGGGGGTATCGGCGTCTGTTTTTGTAGGGCGGGTGGTATTTAAAAGATGGCGGCTGGCGATGTCTGACGTGGTGCGGGGTCCCAGCACCTGCTTTTTCTAGCTGGCGTGTTTTATATATATATATATATATATATATAAAATACCCAAAGAGTCTAGGAGCGTGGGGATGTCAGATGTGGCGGGGGGTTCGGCGCCTGCTTTTGTAGGGTGGAGGGTCCTTGAAGCACCACGCCCCGAATTTCCAGGATAGTGGGGATGTCAGACGTGGTGGAGGGTCCCAGCGCCTGTTCTTTTAGGGTGGGGGGTCGTGGGAACACCACACCCAGAGGGTCCAGGAGGCTGGGGATGTCAGGCGTGGTGAAGCGTCCCGGCGCCTGTTTTTGTAGGGTGGGGGATCCCGACGCGTGTTTTTGTAGGGTGGGGGGTCCTGAGAACACCGCGCCCACACGGTCCAGGAGTCTGGGGATGTCAGGCGTGGTGGGGGGTCCTGGCGTTTGTTTTTCTATGGTGGGGGGTTTTCACAGCATCAAATTTCAAAAAGGTTCAAGAGGCAGGGAATGTCAGACGTGGTGGGAGGTGCCGGTGCGTGTTTTTGTAGGGCGGGGGGTTCTGAAAACAGCACACCCAGAGCTTTTAGGAGGCTGGGGATGTCAAGCGTGGTGGGGGGTCCCGGAGCTTTGTTTGTACAGTGGGGGGTCCTTAAAACACCAGAAGGTGCAGGAGGCTGGGAATGTCAGACGTGGTGGGGGGTCCAGGCGCCTGTTCTTGTAGGGTACGGAATTTGTAGTTAGAACACCACACCCCATTTCCATGAGGCTGGGGATGTCAGATGTGGTGGGTGGTCCTGGCGCCTTTTTGTTTCTATGTTGGGGGGTCCTGACGGCACTACATACAGAGGGCCAGGAGGCTGGGGATGTCAGATGTGGTGGTGGGTTCTGGCAGGCTGACGATGTCAGGCGTGGTCGGGGGTGCCGGCGCCTGTTTTTCTATGGTGGGGGGTCATAAATACACCATACGCAGAGAGTCCAGGAGGCTGGGGATGTCAGGTGTGATGGGGGGTCCGGGCGCCTGTTTTTGTAGGGTGGGGGGTCTGTTAAGATGAGACGAGAGGGTCCAGGAGGCTGGGGATGTCAGACGTGGTGGGAGGTCCGCGCCTGTTTTGGTATTCGAGACTTGTGTGACTGCGGGGCAGAACAAGCTTTCAGGAACGGTGACGAAAAATCAATCTCACACGCCTCTGGGGTCGGCGGATTATACGGGTTGACTGTGTACACCACGTCGTTTGGCCGGCCAAGGAGCCAGCTCCCAGACGATACAAGTTTCTCACTTCGGGCCCCATGACCAGGACCATCAAAAATGGATCCAGTGCGAATCCAGGCCTCCCAGAAGGGATCCGAGTGGATGGGGTTGGAGGCTCGCTCTGCATCGTCGATGCATCGGCGATGCGGCTCGGTGTGGAGTCTGATTTGCTCCACGCCGACGGCGCCGATGCATCGCTGACGTCGCGGGTGCATCCTCCGATGCATCGCCGACGCATCGGCAATACGGCGCGATCCTCCGACCCCATCTACTCCGACCCTATCCGGAAGGCTTCGAGCGAAAGAATACCCCTCTCATGGGGAAGGGGTCGGGACCCTGGCGGCCGCGGATTGCAAAGAAGAGATCGGAGGATGTCCGGGAATGGGCTCGGCGAAGGCATTTGGTGTGCAGACACTTTGGACTTTGGCACCCCACAGGCTGGGAAGCTGGGGTGTCTGCGTACCGAGCTCCTTGGCGGATCAGGCGGTTTGGTGTATGCTTCGATCCCTTCCCACGGCCATGTTTCCCTGCGGGATGGCGTCCGCTGCCGCGGGGGTGGCTTTCGCTGCCAGCTGCGCAGCGGGGCCTATCTTCAGGCCTCCCGCGCCGCTCACTGCACCGCTGGTGCCGCAGAGGTGCGGTCGACGGGGATTGGGTCTCAGGAGTTGTCAGAGAGGTCTTCTGTTCCAGGGCCGCCACGGGGGTGCGAAGTCAGTCGCGTTTCGCGGTTTGGGCCATGTCAGAGCGAGGCGCGTGTCCCTCATCCTGCTCCGGGGAGGGGGGCGGCGCGAAATCGCGAAGATGGTTAGCTATTGGGGAGGCATCCAGGGAGTTATAGAGGAACTAGAGCTTCTAAAGCGGGTAATCAATATCAGCTACCACAGCTGGTGTGTGGCCCAGGTTGATGCGGAGAGGACACTATACTTGCAGCGGGTTCCGTGAGTATCGGCGGCATGTTCGTTTCGAAAACCAGTCGCATCTCCAGAAGCGTTTCTCCGCTGTATTAACCATCGCTGGCGCCTTTTGCAAAACCCTCTGCGAAAACAGTCGTTTATTATTTGATTTGCTTTTCCAGTCTCTGGCCCGGGCCTTTGGGCTGGAGTTTTGACGTCACCGGTTGGTTGGTTTCTGTTCGTCATGCGTCTCTGCAGTCAGCGCGTCTCGTCTTGCAGGGGGTGGGTTTTCTCAGATATCCTAGGTGCCAGCGCAGGCCCCGCCGTCGTGCCAGCACAGTAGGGAAGAGAATAAGTTGGAGAATCGTTCTTGTTCGCTGTCATGTCTGAAGCGGCGCGGTTCGCATCCTCGCCCCTCGTCCTCGGTCTCGTTTAGTCGTCGAGGTTCATCCGGGTCTTTTCGGAGCCCCTCTCGGGAGCATGTCGGGGACTTGCGGGTGGTCCCTGGAGGGGCTTGGGGCCGTACTGTGCGCGATGGTTCCACCGGGCCCACTGGAAGAGGCTTGGCTGAGTTATCTTGCTTGCGTCTGGAGTGGTCTTGGGGCAGTCCGCAATGTCGGTCGGCCTCCCCCCCCACCCCACCCCACCCCCCCTGGCCTTGGAATACAGATGAGTCACGGCCACGTACGTGGACGTGGGCCAAGAGTATGAGTCCCACGGCGTCATGGAGATGCCTCAATCAAAAACCATTCGAGGTGGAGAGCCCAAAAAATGTATCATAAGGGTGCCCCTCAACGAGAGTGTTAATATTCACCCGCATGCGAGCTGTGCCCTGCAGCCGTGTTGGAGCTGTCGGTGGTTTTCCCGGAGCCGCCTGGAGGCCCAAAATTGCCCGAGGCGACAGAATTTGGGAGGAAAGTCCATGGTCGCCCTTGGAGTCATGTATAAATCCCACCAGACACCATTCATTCACTCTCCACCATCGTGCAAGGCACGGTGTTCGGATGCACACGCCACGCGGCGGTCCTGAGTGCGCAGGGAGATGTGGAATTGCGACTCGGTGCGCAGTTGATCACTGCAGGTTCTGCTTGAGCAGTTCCATGACGTGCCATAGTTGATTGGTGCGATTTCGCGGTCCTGCGAGTCTTCAGTCTTTGGGGCGAGGGTCTCCCCGTAACGTATATTATCCAGGGATGTGCCCAACGCATGCGCAACACATGGCAAAATCGACGGCCCTGCCAGAACGTTGGTTTGTAGAAAGTCTCTTCACACACCCTTGCGACATCTATATTGGAACTCTTGGCGTTGCACGCCTCGTCGGCCATAGGACCCAGTCAAAGCATCTCCAAGGGAAACAAATGGGTGGGAGACGGAGAACAAAATGACGACCAAGCAGAGGAAAGAAGGATCACAAGATAGTTGTGCAGTTGGCAGCGCCCAGGGACGGGCGGTCCAGCTTGATCCGAGTAAGACGTCATTCCGTTGGACCTTCCAGGAGCTTTCGACAGGGGCTACAGTTTCGTTCCCGGCATCGGCAGAGCAGATGCCGACGGCCGCTGGAGTCAGCAGGAGTTGGCGAAAACAGGCGACGAGTGGCACGATAATGAGACATATAATATTCAGTTTGTCCAGGAGATGGGGCGACGGGAAGTTCTGGGGCCAGTGGCAGGCAAGGCGCTGGATGAATTGATTCTTGAAACGCAGATCCTGACAATTCTTGATGCTTCGCGTATCTACACCAGGCTGTCGAGATTGACCCGCTCTCTGGAACCGTCCTTAGGGCCGCAGATCAAAAAAGTATCTACACCAGGCCGACAGCCATACACTGGGCGACGCCTGATGCCTGGCCTTGCCCCGGGAGCGGCTTGCAGTGAGTGGTTCAGCCTTCAGCTGTTTGCGGTCGTCCCTTTTTGTAGTGCAGTCTGCACAGCTTGTGGCAGTTCTTCACATCGTTGTGCCCCCGAATTGCGTCTGTCGGTTACGGTGTGCGCGCACTGACTTCAGCTGCAGGCGGTCACTTCGCTAGTGTACATCAGTGATTCGTCCACTGAAGGCTTCTACGTGGTCCACTCATCTTTTTGCGTCAGTGAGTTCGTTGCGACAGGCCCCACTTTTTTGCCTCACCATTGTACATGGTTCCGCCTTGTGTGTGCTGGTCGCGCGCTCTCGCTCTGGCAGCTTGAGTCGGGCGCCGAATCGGCGACTCACTCTGCTGTCTTTGCACTTGTAGCTCGTGCCCTCTGGTTCGTTGCTTCGCCTATGTGCGTTTGCCTGCGAATGTAGTTCATTTTGTGTATTGTGCATGTGCAACTGCGAGCATGTCTTGCAGATGCGAACGGCTGTCGACAGTGGCAGCCGTACGCAAATTCGCTCCGTACCGCATCCCGGACTCTGCGTTTGCTCCTTGACATTTGCTTTGGAACCGCGAACCAAAAAGTATCTCCACCAAGGCAGCGGCCCCGCCCCATGTCGGGCGACGAAATCTATACATTTCCACTGCTCCCTGACCATGCCCATCTTGAACCCAGGAGCTGTGTATGCGCCCTCCTGGCCAAGCCAGGAGGGCGTGGCGTATACACCGCTGCGGGGTTGAGGATGGGCCTGGCCAGGGAGCAGTGGATATGTATAGATTTCGTCGCCCTACCATGGACCATGGACTAAAGAGGACAATAATGCGACGGAGGCGGCCTCGCAGGAGCAATGGACTTGTGCATCTGGCTCCGCCAACCCGTGGCAGGGATGGCAGGGATGGGTTTCTTGGAGCCACCAGGGCGCACCGTGGACAGATACTGATTGGAAAGCGAAAGGCAAACGTTACCCCCCCAGGGGAGACGACCGATACACCGACAAGCGCGCACGATGGTGGGACTGACTTGACTAGTGTGCCAAGGGCACGCAGGGACGGGCCCGCCCGACGGAGTGCCCCCTGCTCCCCCAGCTCGGCGGCGGCGACACCCCCTCAGGCGCTCGCCGCTCTCTCCCCGCCGGGGACGGTTTCACCTTGCAGCGCCCGGCCGTGGCCGCAATACCGTGGGCAACTCCCGCTGGGGCGGGGGTGTCGCAACATCTCACCCAAGGCGCTGCGTAGCTAGACAACCCACACTCGATATGTGGACCTTGCCTGGCCACCTCACCCCCCCCTCGGCAGGTGGGGGTGAGCCTGCAGGCCCCACCGGCCCAAGGCCAACAGCTGCCCTCTACGGCGGCTGACTGCTCTGTTGGGGACTGGGGACGGCCGCAGACGCGTCCCCGCGCTCAACACCTTTTGCGGTCTCTCTCGGCAGCCACTTTGGTTGGCCGGGGGCGGTTGACTGGAATAGTCCCCCCCTGCGCACCACTCTGCTTGGCGGCGGTCTGTGTGCAGCCCACACAACCCTTCCCTCGTCCTCGGCTCTGTGCGAGCTGCTTCCATGACATGTTACATTGCGGCTGTTGGCTGCACCCCCCCTCCAACCGACACGTGTTCATTGCGGCTGATGGCTGCGCCCCCCCCTCCACTGCGTGGTCAGATTCAGCCCTGGCGGCGTTCCAGCGCTCCATGAGGCGGTCGCGGCAGCTGCGAATCTCGGCGACAATCGTGACCTTTACTTGCGAGGTTGCAGTGTACCAGCCCTTGGGCCAGCGTGTCCTCTCTCATCGTTGCAGCCCCGGCCAGTCACTGGTTTCGGATACGATGAACGACACACAGGCCCCCCCCCGGCAGCGGTGCGGTCTGTGGAGTGAGTGCTTTGTTGGTACCTGCCGTTCCCCTGCCCATTCTGTGGTCAGATTCAGCCTTGACTGCGCTCCAGCGCCTATGAGCTGGTCGCGGCTGCAGCGTACCTCGGCGACCTTCGGCCGATACCCGCTAGGCGGCAGTGTACCGGCTCTTGGGCCTGCGTGTCCTCTTTCATCGTTGCTTCCCTGGCCTGTCACTGGTTTCGGAAACGATGAGTGACACGCCGGCCCCCCCCTGGTCAGCGGTGTGGATCGTGGAGCGAGTGCTCTGTAGGTCCCTGCCGTTCCTCTGCCCCCGTCTTCGCCGACCCCGCGTACGGCGGTGGTACGGACTTCGCGCTGAGTGGTTCAGCCTTCAGCGTTGTCGCTTCGGTTCTCCCTGCCCGCTTTCGGCTAGGAGAGCTGCTCGGAGCTTGGCGCCGACAGGGCGACTTTTCCGTTGCATTCGCACTGCGGTCTGCTTCACTTCGGTGTGGCTGGCGCCTATGTGCGTTCGCCTTAATGCGGAGCAATTTGCTCAATGCATGTGCACACCGCGCATCCTAGCTAATTTGCCTAGCTCGCGTCCCGGACTTTGCTCCCGCTGCCTGACCGTCGTCTCGCGGCCGCGACCGAAAAAAAATATCTCCACCAGGGCGCCTAGGTGCGTCTGCTGGTGAATGCTGAGCATTTTGTTCAGTGCATGTGCATCTGCACGTTCGTTGTGCAATTAGCTTCGTGCCACCCGCCCCGGACATTGCTTGTCGCCGCCAGGCCGTCGTCGCGCGGCCGCCGACCAAAAAAGTATCTCCACCAGCACATCCAAGAACAATCGTGAGGCGAGTTCCCCTGATCAGGGATGCGTAGCGGCATGCAGTTACGCTTTGGGAGCCTATTGGAAGCATCATGAGGCCATCCCTGGGCCCTCTCGGGACTCTCTTGAGGCTATTTTGACACCCTTGAAGGCTCTCTTGGGGCCTTCTCGGTGCCTTCTTGGGGTCCTCTTGGGCCGTCTGGCCGTCTTCGGCTGTTTTGGGGCCTTCTTGGAGGCCTTCCGAAGCCTCTTGGAACCATCTTGGAGACCACGGCTGAACAAAAAAAAAAAAAAAAAATAAAAAAAAAAAAAAAAACAGGCGGTGTCACATGTGATCCTCCCCTCGGAGGCCGAGAAATTGCTTCTTGAGGCCCTGTTGCGACGCCCTTGGGCTCCTCTAGGGCGATCTTGGAGCTCTCGTGGGGCTCTCCTGGGCCCCCCCCCCCCCCCCCCCTGAGGCTCTCTCATGCAATGTGTGTTGGCCTTGGGGGGACAGCATCCGCAAAGCCCCCCCAAAAGAGCTTTAGCAGGATCCCAGTCGGTCCCCGCCAACCCCCGTCAGCCCTCACGCTGTACCCTCGTCCTTCTCTCCGCTGCTGGCCAGGGGCGGCCACCGCGCCAGACGGCCTGTCCCACGTCCGTGTCCACGGGCAAGGGGGGCAGGTGCTGCGACGTCGGGGAGGGAGGGGGTACTCTTGGAGTCCCAGATTCCGCTCTACTTTCAGCGCCTAGCCACCTCAATGATCGAGTGGTTTCACTGTTTCCGTCCTCTGATGGGGGCGGGCGGACACCCAATCTACTTTCAGCGCCTTCCTACTTCATGTGTCTACCTACTTCTTCCGACCGATGGGTAAGCCACTCCCCGAAATGGAATACGGGGATGGTCACATTGTCGGACCGAGCTAAAAGGTCGAGGTCGGTTCGAGTAGGGTTCCCTGATGTTCTTCGTGTATGTTGGATATTCTTGTGCATCCTGGAGCATACCCTCGAACGGTCTTCAGTTTGGGCCGGCGGAGGGTCTCGTATTCTTGGAGGATGATGTTTCGTCTAAGGTCCGGCCGTAAACATTACACGCCCAGGCGGTTGATTGGCTTGCTCGCAGCCGCCCCCTTCGATCCAGACCCCGGTTAGAGGGGGAGGGCCACACCCCTTCCAGGAGTCGCGGAAAGGGGACAGCGGAGAGAAGAACGAGCACATCTTTGCCCCAAACACATTGTTGGCCAAACTGGCCATTCCTCCAAACTGGGGAGACCGGACTGCTTTGATGGGCCTGGCACTGAGGACTGCCTGCGCCCGTCTCGCTTGTCTTCGAACCAGCGGCGCTTCTTGACTCGCCTGTTGCGCGTGTAGATTTGAATCCAATGGCTCTGTTCCTAGACTCAAAGCTGGTGTACACTTCGCAGCGTGCTGCTAGCGAGGCAATATGTGGGGCCGTTGAGGCAAATGGCTGTGGAGGTGGGGAAGCGATGCTGCAATCCCACCCATCCCGCCTGCGCTGAGATGTGCACGCAACCATCTTGCCAGACGTTGGATTTGGAACGATCTGTACATGACTCACCGCGTGGGGGCCGACAAATTCAGCCCCCCTTCTTACTGCTTTACGATTCTGACCTGGCGCCGGACAGGCGCTCCGACGGGCACCTTGACAGGCGCTCCAACCACTGGATGCAGCGAGGCTCGCGCTCCAACTTGAAGCTTTTGAAACAGGGAGGGGGAGAAGAAGAGGGGAATTAGGAGGAGGAGGTGGTGGTGGAGAAGGGAGGAGGAAGAGAAGGTGGTAGATGAGGGCGGAGGAGTTTTCGGAGGAGGATAGATGTGAGTGGAGTGGAGGTTGATCGCATGCTGCACGCGATGACGCCGCGCGCACCGCGGATCTGGTTGAGGCATTGCAGCCGACGCCCAGTTTGTCCCACAATTCTTTCTGGGGGGTCGAAGGTGGGGCCCTGAGGCATGGGGCCCGAAGGATAGGAACGGGCTGCCAGGTTGAGCTTGCATTGTTCAGAGCCTCCTCCCCGTAGGGCCCCATGTCCCAGAGCCTTCGATGTGCCGATGCTCGACCAGGCCGCCATGGAAACATGGGGAGGCGGGCAGCTAGATCGCCCCGCTCGCGACGGGGAAAGCGGAACGGGAGTTGTCGTTGCCTAGGTGCCTCTCACAGCTCGCTGAGCCACCCGACGGATGCGATACCGCCGGCACATCGCCCAGTGAGTTTTTTCTCTCCAGCGTAACGCTCGTTACCCGGGCCAACCCTCCCCCCCAAGTAACGCTAACGATCGTGCCGTGGGGGAGGGGAGGCCTGCCCCCCCCCCCCTAACGGTGGGAGCGGACCCCCCGCAGGTATGCTGCCGTGCTCACAGGCATGGCGTGGTCTGAACGGCACGCACCGGTGCTCACAAACGTGTTGTGGCGCTCGCAGTCGTCGTCGTCGTCGCTGTCGTCGTCGTTGTCGTTGTCGTCGTCGTCGTCGTCGTTGTCGCCCAACGCAGCTGGCGATGGCCCAGCTACCGCAGGCTGGTTCGACCACTCGCCCGTAAGTGCAAAATCCGTTGGCTCTCTCTCTCTCTCTCTCTCCCTTTTTGCCGCTGCTCGGTTGCAGTGCGATGCAGCCAACGCGCTTAATAAGGACGCGCGCCTTCTCAAGGGTACCTTTGTGTCCTTGCTTCTGCGGCCTGTTTTTTGCTTCTTTCATTGGCTAGCTTGTGCATCAAAAATCCAACTTCGGCTTCCAAGGGTCTTGCGTCCTTGCCACCCGTCCGTCCTTAATGCACGTGTCGATTGTAAGCCCAGCGCCATGGCGCCTTCTCCCGCGGGCGCTGTGGTGTGCGCGGGCGCTGTGGTTCATGGGGGCAGCATGGTGCGCACCAGCGCTGCGTTGCACACGGCTGCTGCGGTGTACACAGGCGCTGTGGTGTACGCAAGCGCTGCGGTGCACGCAGGCACTGTGGTGTACACCGACGCAGTGTTGTACGCGGCAGCTGTGGTGTACGCAGGCATTGTGGTGTGCGCAGGCATTGTGGTGCACGCGTGTAGAATTCCCAGGCGCTCAAATTTCCACAGGGCTTCTTTCAAACCATGTATAAAACGTTTGTTCTTTTGTGGATTCGAAAGGTGCCCCTTTTTCCAGAGGGATTCGTTTATCAAACAATTGGAACTCAGAGGCGCTCCGCTGTCCATAGTGATTCCTATTCAAGTTCTATATCAAAATTTGTTTTCGGAATCCAGAGGCGTTCCATTTTCCATGGGGATTTGCTTTAATAATCCAAGTGTAGGCAACGTCTGTGTGTATACTTTCATTATATACAACGGTTGATGCAATATACACGGGCATTGCGGTGTGCATGGGCGACGTGGTGTTGCAGTGCACGCGGCTGTTGTGGTGTACGGAAGCATTGTGGTGTGTGCCCAGGTGTGCTGTGTTGGACGCAGGCATTGGGCACTGTCGTTTACACAGGCGATTGATTCGCCGTTGGCGCGGACGCACCCTGGCGGGCGCACGCCGCGGCCGCCGTTACCGTTACCTTCCCGCCCTCCCCCCCCAGGGTAACGGCCGTTACCCGGGAGAGAAAACAACGGTCACCCATTCGTTGCTCGGTTTTCCTCGAGGGAGTTCCCTGCTAGTTTGGAGGGTTTGCATCCGTATCGTCAGGCATATATCCCCATTCCAAGTGGCCCACCAGCCTGCCCCCTGGAAGTTTGATGGATGCCGCGGGGAATGGCGGAGACAGCATATATTCTAGACCCTGCACGTAAGCCCGCCAGCCCATTCAGTAACGATGCCCGGGCGAGCTGCCTTGATCAGGCATGTGGGGGAGCACGCAGAGGAAGAAAGGTTGGGAAGCCGTCAGACCCCAAGAGGGGGAGGATGGAGGGGGAACCAGAGGAGGAGCAGGAGGATGAGGAGTAGGGAGAGGGGGAGAGTGAGGAGGAAAGAGGAATAATTGGCGGATAGGAAGAGGAGAAAAAGGAAGGAGAAGAAGAAGGAGGAGGAGGTGGACGATCAGAAAAGCCAAGGGCCTCTTGGATGCCTCTTGAAATCTCTTCGGATGTCATTCGAGAGCAGCTTGAAGTCTTCTTGGGGCATCTTCGGGTTCTCTTGGCAGTCCCGGGGGCCTCTTGGGGCGTCTTGGGTGCCTCGGGGAGATTTGTTTGGGGCCTCTTGGGAAGCTCTTGGGAGCCTTTCGGGAGCATCTTGGGGGCCTCGTGGGGCCTCCTGCGCACCTCTTAGGCCCGTCTTGGGGCACCCTTTGGAGGCTCGGGGGCCATCTCGGGGCCATCTTGGATGAGATCGATCAAATGAGTGCCGTCATAAATTAGCGGTGCCCCTCCCCCTCCCCACAGGAGGCCGACTTGTGGCCAAAACCAGAGTACACACATACGGAGTTTGTTTTTTCGCCGAGGCCAAAAACAGCCCTTGTACAGCTCGCGAATGGCGCCCCTCTAGACCCAGGGGGAGGGGGGACGGGGCGGGGTAAACCTCTCCCCGAAGGATCAGAAGAGGGATTGGACGAGGAAACTCGCTAAACCACTCACGCCCTAGAGGGCTTGTGGGATTAGGGTCCCCCCTAGAAGGCCAACATGTGACCAGCACCTTTGTGATATATATATATATATATATATGGTAGTTGCCTTCTCGCCGGGGCCGTTTAGGACACTCTAACTCCTCGCGCCCCCCTCCCCGTACAGACTCAGGGATAGGGGATAGGGGAGGGGTTAAGACAGCTTCCCCGACCTCAAGCCGTCTCGCTCACTCCCACCCGCCCTCCCAACACGTAAGTAGCACCCGAGACGAAGCGTGTTCAGCGGTAGTCTTTGGATGGACAGCTGATGAGAGCCGACACAAGCCCCATGTCCTCAACGCTGCGGCGAGGCGAGCCACGCGCGCCAGGTGCGCCAGGCACCCATGTGGCTCAAGCGTACCCCGCACGCCTGGTGCGCCAGATGCGCCACGTGATCCACGTGCGCCATGCGTGCCGCATGCTCCAGCCGCGCCACTTGCGCCACGTACGGGGCACGCACAGGGTGTGCCAGGTGCGCCTGCGCACGTGGATGTACACATCGAGAAGCGTTTCGGGCCCCACCACCTTTGTCGAAAGCCAGTGCGCAATCGCGGCGGGGTGGCCATCATAGCGTCGGGTGGGCATGCACATAGCAGGCAATATGCCAGCACGCCCGCCGTCCCAGTCAAAAACCAATCGAAGTGATCGCGGGGTGCCCTCGCATGATCCAGATTTTGTTTCAAAGTGCATGTTGTAGATGTTGGCCCTGCGCGCAGCAGGCAATATGCGGACACCCCCGACGTCCCTGACAGGCCGCAAAAAGGCGAAGTGCTCGCGAACCCTCCGATCATGACCCAAGATGTTGCCCTACAGCCTACGTCACATGGATTTTTCCAAACCATTATGTGGTGTTGGGTCCTCGTTTTGAACGGTCCCCGCGTTCCTTCCTCCTCCCCCCCTTCTCCCTCCTCCCATCATCATCGCCCATTCCGGCACAACCCTTTACAGGTTTCGTGGCCCCATAGGGAGCTCCACCGAAGGTCCCAGTCGCAGTGTTCGCATGCGTCCCTGCCACCCATGTCGGCACATCCCTCACACGTTTCGTTGCCCCACAGGGAGCTCAACCGAGGGCCCCAGTGGCGGTGTTCGCATGTGTCCCCGCCACCCATTTTGGTGCACCCCTCTCACGCTTCGTGGCCCCATAGGGAGCTCAACCGAAGGCTCCATCTTTTGAAGGCCCCAGTGGCGGTGTTCGCATGCGTCCTCGCCACCAATTTCGGCACACTCCTCGAACGTTTCTCTGCCCCATAGGGAGCTCCACCGAAAGCCCCACTCGCAGTGTTCGCATGCGTCCCCGCCACCCATGTCGACACAACGGTCACACGCTTCGTTGCCCCACGGAGAGCTTCACCGAAGGCCTCAGTGGCGGTGTTCGCATCCGTCCCCGCCTCGAATTTCGGCACATCCCCCACACGTCTCGTGGCCCCATAGGGAGCTCCACCGAAGGCTCCAGTGGCGACGTTCGCATGCGTCCCCGCCACCCATGTCGGCACACCCCTCACACGTTTCGTGGCCCCATTGGGGAGCTCGTGTGAAGGCCCCAGTGGCGGTGTTCGCATGCGTCCTTGCCACCCCCTTTCGGCATACCCGTTTACAGGTTTCGTGGCCCCATAGGGAGCTCCACCGAAGGTCCCAGTCGCAGTGTTCGCATGCGTCCCTGCCACACATTCCGGCACACCCCGCACACGTTTCGTGACCCCAAAAGAAGCTCCACCGAAGACCTCAATGACGGTGTTCGCATGCGTCCCCGCCACCCATTTTGGTGCACCCCTCGCACGTTTCGGGGCCCCATAAGCAGCCTCACCGGAGGCCCCAGTGGCGGCATTCACATGCGTACCCACCACGCATGCCGGCACGCCCCTCACACGTTTTGTCACCCCATCGAGAGCTCCACCGAAGACGATACCCACAACTTCGTTATCCACAACTGCATATGGTTGGGTCCTTCGCCAGGCTAATTTAACAGGGATGGGAGGGGCTGCCCTTGTTGGTCCTGGTTGGCTGCCGGTCGGCTGGGGGACGGGAAGTTCACCAATAGGGAATAGTGATAAACCTTTCCCGAAGGGGAAGAAATGGGGTTGGAACAGGAAGCGCTGTAAACCACTCACGCCCAGGGGGT